TTAAAGGGAGCTGAAAACCAGGCAGAGGACTGCAGGCTCGTCAGCCTGATGAGAAAAAACAAACCGTCAGCTTGAAAGGCATGCTATCTTATCTGTAACTAGTGGGACTAGAAAAGAGAAAAGGCAGGGAAGAGATTGTGCCTTTTAATTAAAAGCAGATCCTTTTATCTGCCAGCTGTGGAAGACAAGACACCATCCCCTCCACCAGCTCCCTCCCCTCTCCCCATCACCAGTGCCATCCGCAGGCGTGTGTAGGGATGGGGATTTGGGGGAGCAAAGGGTTTTTCTTTCCCCTTTTTATTATCTTGTTTTCAGTGCCTGCTCCATCCGCGGTGCCCGGGCTGGTTGTGGCTGGGGGGGGGGGGGGGGGGGGGGCAGGAGCCAGCTCAGGGGGATAATGGGCAATTAGGTTTTATCAGCAGGATCATACAAGGAATTCTGTCCAATTTCACAGCATCCGTCTGTCACATAACTAGAGACCGACTGCCCGCTCACAGCCAGCCCTTACTCCCCTCCTCGTTCTCTTTTCTCCCGTTTGGAGAAATGGAGGGGAATTCCTTAACCAGAAAAATCCCCAAATCCCACCCAAAATGAGTTTGCTTCCTCTGAAAAAGCAGCTTTGCCTGTTCCCGTTCCCACTCCAGAAGGCAGCAGGGAAAGGGTGGGAGCACACCAAGCCTCAGGACAATGCTAGACGCTCCAAGACCCCCACATCAGTGGCACAAGGGTCTCTCACCCTCTTTGCACTCCAAGGCCACCCGGGAAGAGGAGAAAGAAGCCCCCCCCCGCCGCCGATCCCGATGATGGCAGGCAGGGTAAGCAGGCTGTCCGAGTAGATCTGCAGCGTCCCCGGGGAGAACTCGAACCCTCCAGCCTTAATCTGTGCCACAGTGGGGAAAAAAAGGACCTGGCATCAGGGAACACGTGCCCAGGGCAGCCCTCGCCAGCGTGCCTGCTGTGCTGGGAACTGGGGGATGACTCCCAAGCCAGGGAAGGAAGGATGTGGAAAAACGCAAGGATGGTAGGAGCTGGTCTGGAGCAGCATGGCACGCTTTAACAGGATGCGGGACGCATGCTGCCAGCGTGCGCGGAGCAGGCAGAGGGTTTGATGTCTCATTCAGACATTACAGTAACAGATGGGATGTGAAGAGAGTTTTCCCACACGTGGGGAGCCTGGAGGGGACCACACTAGGTCCCTTTCAACCTGGTGGGGTCCTGGAGTGTAAGCACCGCTGCATTACAACCCCACAAACAAAGGAGCCTTCCTTACGGTGTGAGATGGCACCGGGGGTAAGTGGTGGGAACCCCCCTCCCTGCCTTGGCACCAAGGCTGTGCCTTGGCACCCAGTGGGAAAGGGAGGTTGTTGGCAGGGACAGCCAGGGTGCAGCAACACCTGGCTGAGCCTGCTGGGGAGGGGACAAAGTATTTGGTCCTACCCAACATGTAAATAGGGAGAGCAATGCCCAGAGAGCAGGAAGATGGCTCCTGAGGGTGCTCCTGCATGCGCACTGACCACCCGGTCCTCATCCGAGGACGAGCAGCAGGGCTGGTGCCAGGATAAAGGCTGAACCCCTGTGACACACGGGACAGGAGAAGCAAAGGCACTGGTGTCAGCACTTACCGTGACTTTGTGCTGGCCGGTGAGGTTGGGGGACTCGCAGAGGAGCTGGGTCTCAGAGATGGTCAGGGTGCAGGGAGTGTCTCCGATCAGCACCGTGTAGTTCAGGCGGGAGTTACCAGCAGCTGGCGGGAGCAGGTTCCTGCCCTTTGAGGGAACAAGGAAGGAGATTGTCAGTTCTCATGCAATGGGGAATGCTTAAAAAAAGGAGCCAGCTCAGGGGGATAATGGGCAATTAGGTTTTATCAGCAGGATCATACAAGGAATTCTGTCCAATTTCACAGCATCCGTCTGTCACATAACTAGAGACCGACTGCCCGCTCACAGCCAGCCCTTACTCCCCTCCTCGTTCTCTTTTCTCCCGTTTTAATGGGCAATTAGGTTTTATCAGCAGGATCATACAAGGAATTCTGTCCAATTTCACAGCATCCGTCTGTCACATAACTAGAGACCGACTGCCCGCTCACAGCCAGCCCTTACTCCCCTCCTCGTTCTCTTTTCTCCCGTTTGGAGAAATGGAGGGGAATTCCTTAACCAGAAAAATCCCCAAATCCCACCCAAAATGAGTTTGCTTCCTCTGAAAAAGCAGCTTTGCCTGTTCCCGTTCCCACTCCAGAAGGCAGCAGGGAAAGGGTGGGAGCACACCAAGCCTCAGGACAATGCTAGACGCTCCAAGACCCCCACATCAGTGGCACAAGGGTCTCTCACCCTCTTTGCACTCCAAGGCCACCCGGGACTCCAGGTTGTCCATCTGCAGCTGGAGGCGTTTCAGGGTCCGGTCAGCATCCCGGGACTTGCGCTTGTAGGCGATGAGGACGATGATGATGATGAGGAGAAGCAGACCACCCCCGCCGCCGATCCCGATGATGGCAGGCAGGGTAAGCAGGCTGTCCGAGTAGATCTGCAGCGTCCCCGGGGAGAACTCGAACCCTCCAGCCTTAATCTGTGCCACAGTGGGGAAAAAAAGGACCTGGCATCAGGGAACACGTGCCCAGGGCAGCCCTCGCCAGCGTGCCTGCTGTGCTGGGAACTGGGGGATGACTCCCAAGCCAGGGAAGGAAGGATGTGGAAAAACGTAAGGATGGTAGGAGCTGGTCTGGAGCAGCATGGCACGCTTTAACAGGATGCGGGACGCATGCTGCCAGCGTGCGCGGAGCAGGCAGAGGGTTTGATGTCTCATTCAGACATTACAGTAACAGATGGGATGTGAAGAGAGTTTTCCCACACGTGGGGAGCCTGGAGGGGACCACACTAGGTCCCTTTCAACCTGGTGGGGTCCTGGAGTGTAAGCACCGCTGCATTACAACCCCACAAACAAAGGAGCCTTCCTTACGGTGTGAGATGGCACCGGGGGTAAGTGGTGGGAACCCCCCTCCCTGCCTTGGCACCAAGGCTGTGCCTTGGCACCCAGTGGGAAAGGGAGGTTGTTGGCAGGGACAGCCAGGGTGCAGCAACACCTGGCTGAGCCTGCTGGGGAGGGGACAAAGTATTTGGTCCTACCCAACATGTAAATAGGGAGAGCAATGCCCAGAGAGCAGGAAGATGGCTCCTGAGGGTGCTCCTGCATGCGCACTGACCACCCGGTCCTCATCCGAGGACGAGCAGCAGGGCTGGTGCCAGGATAAAGGCTGAACCCCTGTGACACACGGGACAGGAGAAGCAAAGGCACTGGTGTCAGCACTTACCGTGACTTTGTGCTGGCCGGTGAGGTTGGGGGACTCGCAGAGGAGCTGGGTCTCAGAGATGGTCAGGGTGCAGGGAGTGTCTCCGATCAGCACCGTGTAGTTCAGGCGGGAGTTACCAGCAGCTGGCGGGAGCAGGTTCCTGCCCTTTGAGGGAACAAGGAAGGAGATTGTCAGTTCTCATGCAATGGGGAATGCTTAAAAAAAAAGCATAGAAAATTTGTACTCTCACAGTGCAGGACTTTGCCCCAGGAGAGAAAAAAAAAGCCACCTCCACAGAGGGACATGTCCCTAGCCCTCTGCCCTTAGGTGCACACTGCCTTACCTTGAGGATGAGGGGAGAGCTGGGCTTCAGCTCCAGCATTCCCGTGGGGCTGAGCGGCTCGAAGACAGGGTCCGGGTAGTAGACGAAGTTGGTGGTGTTGATGATCAGCAGGGCCTGGACGTTATCCATGATGAAGCCAATCTCATCAGGGCGGTCACCGAGCTCCGGAGGGCTCCGCACAGGGTTGTCGATGGAGGGTGCGTAGCACACCATGGTGGTGTCGTTGTAGACAGTGCAGTTCTGCAGAAGGCATGGACCAAGGTCAGACCCGGCTCCCGACAGGGAGGTCAGGATCAGACCCCACACAAATCTCCTGCAAGCAGCAGCTCTGGACGCAGGGTTTAGACTTGGGATCTCCTGTCCTGTGCTGTTAGATCAACACGCACCACATTCCACCCCGAGGCAGAGAGAGACTCCGGTCTGCAATGGATGTGTGAGGGGAGGCAGGTGGGAGCTCGCTGGGGACCAGCTCTTTCTGTCACTATCCTGCAGACATCCCACAAACCTCCCATCAGTTCTGCACACTCAGGTCTCAACCCTCTCTTGGCAGCACCTAGGTGGAGGCCCTGCAGGGAGATCAGTGCCCCTCTTTGGGAGGCAGCCCCCAGACCTCAGCCCTTCCACACCATTGCACCCGATGGGCATGTTCCGCCCTGTGTTGCAGAGGGACGGCATCCCTCCTCCTTGTGCTCTGCCCCCAGCCCCAGCCAGCACCACTTACATTCTCCCTTTCAGAGCTGCAGTACTTGGCCCGGATCCTGGGCTCTTTGATGGTGGCCAGGTTGGTGCCAGTCACGGTCAGCAGCGTCCCACCACTAGAGATATGGAAACAATGAGTTAGGAGAGGCAGCCTGGCACTGGGTCCCCACTCCTGGGAGGCAAGCGTCCATCCTCACCAGCCAGACACCCGTCTGCCCCAGTCTGGTTCCACCACAATGCCCCAGGGACTTTTCATCCCACCCAGATGTCACCACAGCCAGCAGAATCTGACATTCACCAACAACAAATAATTTCAGCTGACCCAAGGGCTAACTAGAGACAGAAAACCTACTAACTAACAGTAACATCCCACCCTGTGTCCATGTTTGGGGTCTGAAGGCAGCTTGCAAGCTAAAGACCACCAAGTGTCCACAATGCAAAAGCATTTTGTGGAGGAGGAGGTCCTCTCTGCCACCCCCTTCTCCACCATGCAAGGCAGCGGGTGGCAGAGCAGGCTGAGCCCTGCCAGGTTTTCTCCACAGTTTGGCGTTAAAAGCCCCATGGTCCCAGACAGCTCGGCCATGCCCTGGAGAGCTCGCTCCTCATCAACACCCTGGGGAAGGTTTCCCTTGGCGCTAGTGCTTAATGGATTCCTTCGCCTCCTCTCCAGCCAATTCAAACCTTTTAGAAAAATATGTAAACATTTCAAAAAATCCCCCGATGGGAAATATTTTAATTTTATTCGCCGCCGCCAAATGTCAAGCTGAAATTAAGCCGATCCAAAGCGCTCTCTGTTCTTGCCCCCTGCCAGGCTGAGCACTGCAGGCCAGGAGTTAGAAAGACCCCAGTGCCAAGATAGCTCACGCTCCTCTCGCTGCATCTCTGGAGCATGGCCCAGCAGCTATCGCAGCAGCACTGGGATGTACCCATCAGGAGGGGGGATCCGTGTGGAAAACAGCCCCCCCTGCATCCCACAAGTTCCCTGCAGGTACCCCTTGATTCACCTGTTGATGCTCCACTCGGGATCGATTTTCTGGATAGTGGGGTCCTCCGTGTAGTTGTACTTCACCTCCGGGTTGCTCAGCTCTGCCCGGTTGATGTTGATGAGGATGGGGGAGCCGCCAGGGGTGTGTCCAGGGGGGGTCCTGCACCGGATCTCACGGGCGCTTCTCCTGGGGCAGAAATACACAACCTGCCAGAGCTGGGGCAGGAGGGGGGCAAGGGCAC